TTTTATTTTTAATTAAACTTTTGTTAAATTTTTGAGAAAAAATAAATTTAGAGATGAAATTGAAAATAATTTTAGAAAAAATGGGTGAAAGTGTGAATAAGAGGGATGTTTTGAAAAAAAATTTAAAAATAGGGGGTAAAATTACAAAATTAGAAAGTTTTACCACGTGGGACAGTCCAGTCACCAGCCACGACGAGTCAGAATCCGCTGCGTGACGGACACGCTGACATCGGCTCCACGCGGGAGGCCACGTGGGCAATCCGTGTGTTTGGACGATTCGACAGCGTAGATCGCATTTCACACGCACGAACGACCAGATGCATTTTTTTTATAGATGTGATCGGACGGATGAGATTGATCACGATAGATGGCTCATATTCGCCCATGCAATTGGCTTAAACAGGTAACGATTGGATGACTCTCCTCACTCTACGTCGAAGTGGATGGACAACCAGGATCAGAGAGAAGAGAGGTATTTAAACTTCTCTTCAGCCGGCCTTGAAACCTTAGCCGACACCCAGCCAAAGAAGAAGAAGAAGGAGATGGTCGGAGGGAAGACCAGCTATCAGAAGAACGTTGTTGTCGCCGCATCGAAGACACTGTCGACTGCCGAGAGAGGTAAATTTTTTTTCTTTTTGCTTGGAATTCAATCATGAGTCTCCCTATACCCATATTGGAGCTAAAATATTAATGAGTGAATTGAAAACTACGGGCAAAGCTCGGCCAAGCCGCCGTGGCCAAAACCCAAAATCCTACCCGATGATCCCTTCTCGTTTTTTATTTCACGTGATTTTTTTACCACTGTCTTCTTTATCTTTTTTTGGTGCATCTTAGCTAAATGGGAACTTCAGCCAAAAAGGAGGACTGACATAGCTGCTGTACCCAGAGACTTTATGCCTGTAGAGTTTCAATTTTTTTATCTTTTCTGGCCAACTGAGGCCTCCTAATTGGGATTTTCACATATTTATGTGCAAAACTGGTCAAAATCGACATAAATTGGCCGAAATCGGTTAGCCCGATGTGAATGGCCACCGCAGGCGGCAAAGTTGATGTTTGAGCACGGTAGCGGCATCGTGCCAGAACTCTAAAATCGGCCAGAAAGGTTTTAAAATACCTATTTTGACTTTTTGAGATATTTTTGGATACATGACATGTGTTTTAATTTTTGCATAAAAATTTCAAAAAACTTGGAGACTGCCAGGAAGTATAGTAGAAAGTACGGTATTTTAGACACTGATATAGGGTAAGAATCTCTCACTTTTTTTTTTCTGTTACGGTAAATTGAAGCTTAATAATTGATAATACTATATTTTACGAAAATTAGAAAATTCTAAAAATAATTACATATCATTAGTGGATGCAGACCCGGTCAGTGCATAGTTTTCATAGTTTACTCTTTATTTTCTCATGTATTGCTTAAAATGCTTAATATTATATTGTGTGCATTAAATTACTAGTTTTAATTGCTTTCTCGGTTATTTAGTTTAGTTAACTGCATAGTTCTCATTTATTGATATGTTTTGTAATAAATGTCTCAATCATGTTTCTTAATGTATGTATCGACTATTTGCGTGACTTACCATTGATATGTAAATATGATATATTGATGTGTAATTAGTAATTAGTTAATGGTGTGAATCTATGTATGAAAGACTAATTGGGTACGCTGAAAAATGGTAGACAGACCTTGTATATAGAAAACCTTACTGTGGATATTACCTCAATCGGATGGGGCTGAAAGTCTCATACTAAAAGGGTTTGGGAGATATGGTTCACCCTCATAGCGGACGGGGTATCTAGGCGATAGTATGTTTGATGCCTATTACCGGATGAAGTATGAGAACGACCGGTTAATTGTCAAATTTGCATATTGGGTTCACATATAGAGGGACATCCTTGTGGACCCCAGAAGTATCAGTAAGCAGGTAAAAATGAAAGTTATTGTTTTTGCTCAATTGTATATGAAATCATAATGTTATTTGAGTTATTATTTTTATAGATCAATTTTAGAAACTCATAACGGTAAGTATGAAATAAATGATTTTATATTAATTGAATTTACCTAAATCAATGACTCCATTAGTTACTTTATGATTTTTTTTTACCAACTTTCAGTTTCCGTATCAATGATTAGTATGATATTTTTACTGAATCATTGTAACTCACCTCTTATTAACCATTCAGATCAATAACACAAAAATCAAAATCCTGAACAATATAAGAGTTTTGACTAAGATTACCTCCCAGATCCTATCAAAATTACTAATAGAGGTTAACCCCATATAATATTTATTTTTTTGTTTTCAACCATTTATTTAATTTTTTGTTATGAACTGCTGTAAAATGGATATTTCCGTAACCTTAGTGAGTAATTTAGTTTGCTATGTAAAAAATGTAAATCATAATATCGTTATTTGCTTAATTCATTATAATATAAATTCTTTCCCTTAAAGTTTTGAGCTTTGATAAAAAATTATGAATATTAAAATTTTTATAAAAAAAACTATGAACTTTAACAGAGTAAAAGATTACGAGTTTCGAATATGAAAAAAAATTATGGGTTTGATTAGAGTTGTCTTTTTTTTTTTTTGTATGTGTTCATCTTTATTACATCATAATTAATATATATTGTATTTTTTTTAATATCAAGTATGATATTGAAGATTAGGGTTGTATATAGACATGTATATATATATATATATAAATATTAAAGATGATAACATTTTCAATGTCAATTATTGTATGCCATCGTGATGGAAAAACAATTATTACATGCTATTTTTGGAAGTTTCATTCTCCATATTAGTCTAGGAATGTGTTGAAATAAACATACATCTAGTTAGGTAGCTTCCTCTTTTTAATCTTGAAATGATTTACATATAGATATAGATATAGATATAGATATAGATATAGATATAGATATAGACTATTAGGTAGCTTACATATGCTTGGTATATAAGGCATTCACTTTACTAAAATGGAATGTGTTTGTTTTAAAATAATTTAGTTTTAATTACGTAATTATTCGAGTTCTAATCTAAATAGAAACATAAATCTTTATTTTAATTTAAAATAAGATTACTATATATATATATATATATTATAACATTAAAAAATAATTTATTTTTTAATTATTTTTCTTTCTTATGGTATGGGAGGCATATGGCAGCTTTAATTTATTTTTTTTATTTTTATTTTTTATTTTTTTTATATTGGCACTAATTCACCACCTTTACTATTATTATTATTATTATTATTATTATTATTATTATTATGTCTACCATTCTAATTTAAGTATATAGCTATATAGTTTTTCTTTGTTAAGGCTTCTTTACGTGAACATATATGTATATATATATGTATATGTATGTATGTATATGTCTACGTATACCCATACCATAACAGAGCTTGATTATGTCACGCATGAGCCCATGGGCTAGGCCCACAAGCCCACGAAAGAATTCGTGCTTTTCACTATATGTATATGTGTGTGTGTATATATATATATATATATATCTTAGGGTTTTCACTATAATTAATTTCCTTAATATTCAACTAAAAAAATGAGTTATAAGATTTGAATTGTATACACCTAATCGGTACGAGGACATGACATATACCCACTAAATTTAATGCTCTTAATTACCAAACTTAATTACTTAATAGTTAATTTAATAATAAATTACTGTTTAATTTAATGGTTAATACTTTTTTTTTTTCATTTACAAAAACATTGTATAGTAATACTTAATTAATTAAATTAATATGTAGCACTAATTTGTTACTTGGATGGTAATTATTTATATCATTTATATAAGAATAGTAGATTTAAATAATATTAATACGAATATTAACATTATGTTATTTTTATTAGTATATTATTTTGTTATCGTGCGAATGTTAAATTAAATTAACATGCAATTAATAGTTATTTATTACATAATTAATTAATTTTTATAATATTCAACTAAAGTGTAAATTTTAATATTTGAGTTATATACATGTAACACGCACAATGACACGATACTTAAACTACTAAATTTCAAATTCTTTAATTATTTATATTATTTGACATAGTAAAGATCGTTCTATAATATTTAATTATTTAACTATTGTTCATTTCTTTAATTTTTATTTATTTTTTTAAATAAAATATTTTTATAATTTTATTAAATATTTTAAATTATTACATAATAAATATAAAAATTAAATTTTATTATTTCGTTTTCACATTAAATTTATAACTTTATTTGTTTTTTACATTCTCAGCTACCACACTTTAACTACAAATCCTAATAACTAGTTAATACTTAGTTTTTCTTTTATCTATAAGAAGTCTAGAAACCTGCAAGTCAATATTTATATGTGTGTGTGTGTATATATATATATATATATGTATTTGCACGTTTATTTACTGGGTTGTTGGGAGAGAGGGTGATATTTATAGTCATATGTACATATTTATCATATAAGTTGTTCCCAATAACTAGATTTTTCTTTCATTCTCTCTCATTCTTTTTCCTTAATCTCTTTTCTTCTGTTTCTCTTTGGAAAACACAAAGATGGAAGCAACCCAGCGAAGAAGACACCCAAGAAAGCAAGCAAAAAACGCCATTTTTGACTGTGAAGGTAACTATTTTCTTCTGTTAGCTTCTCGGATTACTCTTAGTTTCTGGGTAAGTTTAAGAACTACCCAATTGAGAAAATGTTATAATCTTTTCTGGGTTTGATTTTGTTTTTATGTTCATTTGAATTTTTTTTTTTTTTTTTTACAGAAGTTAGTAGCATGCCATGGGAGTTTATTAACATGAGTGAGCAAGAAGAAGATCTTCTCTTCAGAATGTACAGACTTGTTGGAGACAGGTGACTTCTAGCCTATTTTGGAGAAGAGTTTTATTTATAAGCTTATTTGAAGTCAAACATTTATACTAATTATGTAAATTATGAAAACTACCAACTCAAAAAAATTATATTAATTTCTAGAGGAAGTAAAAAAATAACCTTAATAACTTTATAATTCTTAAATGATTTGAGATTTTTTCAGATGGGATTTAATTGCTGGACGTATTCCAGGCAGGAAAGCAGAAGAACTAGAGAGGTTTTGGATAATGAGAAAAATAGCAGAGGGTTTGACCAGAGAATAACAGAGTATATGCAGAATTCAGCTACTCCAAATTTTTTATCCCATTCACAGTATACTTTCAGTAATCCTGTATAAGATAGTACCGTATATTATAAACAAGAGAAGAAGATGTATACATTATACAAGTATAGTTAACGATTGTAGCTATATGTTGAGCTCATTTCAGCTTTATATTACATGGTGTATGAGAATTTTGTTCATCTAATCAAAATCAAAATGATTATAAACAAATGACAAGCATGGGATAAGGTCCTGTTTGGTTTTTCAGACAATATATCGGCAAAGATAATCCACTCGAGTTGGATGCTTGAGCTTCATGAAAGCCTTAACTTCATGCTTCCTTACCATCTCTCTTGAAATATTTAGGTTTCCCGCGATTTCTCCCAACGTCCGGTCACCTCTTCCGTCAAGACCATATCTTTGTCTTATTACCAAGCTCTCTTTAGGCTTCAGAGAATCAAGCTAGAATAGGAAAAGATCATAGTTACAAAGATTGGTAGAGTACAAAATAGTATTGATTTCGGATTAGAATCTGATATAGTATCAGAATCAATTCTATTCCTATGTCTCGAAGCTAAATTTTAGATTTTTGTTATAAATGTATGACAGTCAATCGATATCTTTTATAAGATGAAGAGGAATTCAAGGATGAGTGATTACCACGTCGTCCAGAGCCAGCCTAAGAAGAGCAGATTGCCTCTGACTATCACTTCCGACACCATCAACATCTGTAATCCCATTAATGAACTCTTCTTGTGTGACAGCATGCCTCGAATGGAGAGAAAAAACTGGTTTCGAAGCTCTCATTACTTCGTGGTACCTTTCCGGGGAAATTCCAACTTTTTTTATGATCTCATCATCGGTTGGTAATCTTCCAAGCTCAAACAACAACTCGAGTTTGGCTTTCTGAATTTCTACTCTAACCTGCGTTCATAGAAAAGAGAAAGTTACATCACTTAGCACACAACATTAAGCAATACTGTGTGCATATCTGTCGGGGAATCAAGCTGAGAGATACATCAAGAAAGTAAGTAGGACAAAAGCAATACCGATTCAAGTCCAAACGAGACGCGGGTAAAGCTCGAGACAGTCATGGAACGTATAATGGCATGCCTAATCCAAAACAAACTGTAGGTGGAAAGCCGGAATCTCCTCTTTGGTTCAAAACGATCAATTGCCGTAATAAGACCTTTAACTCCAGCCTGACAGAGGTCTTGGAATCTTGATCCATTTGCAAAGTCTTGAAAGTATCTATTGATTACGAACAACACGAGCCGGAGATTGTGCTGCAATAACGGCAGCCATTATCTGTTGTTAGATCTTTTGTCTTGACATATAAAGAGTTGCTTGAAATAGAAGTTGAAGGTATGATCCAAAGATGTTTAATCCAATTCTTGGCCAGTAGAAAGATTCGAGAAGAACAATTTAATCAAAAGATTTAGTTTCCCTTTCGACAAAAAACCCACACTAGTTATCACTATATTGGAAGATGTTGTGGAAGCAAATCCCAAAATATATACACAATCGCACAAAAAAAATGATAAAATAAGAAAGATATAAAATTTTACGTGGTTCAATAGAGATACCTACATCTGTAGGTAAGATCGAGAAGAAATTTTTTATAATGATGAAGATTGAGAGCACATCACTAATAAAGTTGTAAATCTTTATATACACAAAGTATTAGGGTCTTTTCTTGAATTATTCCCCAAAATATATATAGAATATTTCTAGAATCAAGTCATCTAAGAAGATAATTCAGGTTTGCAGAAGGTTTTCTTAGAAACGTAGACTGAAGCAATGCAAATTTAGCATAGATATCTTGTCTCTAATATCAATAGGTAAACTTGTGTACTATAAAAGAAGGGAACAAGAGACAGTACTTGCCTTAATGAGCTTGTTTCTTGCAGCTCTACCAATCTCCATCTGTTTTTTAACTTGAACAATATTCATATTCGTTGCCTTGGCTAATTCACCTTCAGTTGGCTCATGTCCGAGATTCTTCTCCAATTCCTCTTTCACTTGAAGGAGTGCCTGCAAGATATCCAATATAACTTACTGTCATAAGACTATACAAATACTAAAATTGTACTCTTCTCTACTAATTTAATCAATTCGTTATCTAACACCATATTTGAGATCCTAGTTTTGAGCCTCTACTTTACATGCACAAGAAAGCTAATGAATTAGGAATACAAATTTCAAAGTTTAGGAAATAAGGAAAGAGAGAAAAGAGAAACACCTTCATAGGCTGCATCAACTTGAACAACCAAGCATGTTCAGTGGAAGATAAAACTGGAGGTATCTTCATTTTCTTCCAGTCCAAGCTCACCAAATCAGTCGAAGCCGAATACTCCCTCACAAGCTCCTCTATCTTCTCATTCTCATTCTTCCGATCACTTTTCTTCCAAAATGCAGCCACCTTTCTCTCATTCTTGTCCCTTCCCAGAGCAATCCTCTTATCAAGACTCAATCTTTTAGCCCTCTTAGCCGGGTTCCTAACCACAAAACTACCAATTTCATTATCTGCTTTATCATCATCTCCACTAATCCTCCTCCTCCTCCTCCGCTCTCTCCTTGGCATACTATCTACGTCTCCCACATCAGAAGTTTTAGTAGAAGGGCTAAGCTTGTATATACTCTCAAGTTTAGCTGCAGCCTCGTTGTAGTCAACATCCAAGATACATGGAGAAGCCTCATCGGTGGACACTGCTTTTACATTTTTCAAAACTTTGCTAGACTTTCTGAGTCTCTTTTGCTGCTTCTTAGGTGCTTCTACAGGCAACAAGATTTGTTCTTGGGGCAAAATCAAAGCTGTGCTATTCGATTTATCTGCTTTGAATGCAACAATTGATGGTCTTGATCTTGATCCAGAATGATTACTCGAAAGTTTTTTGATCAATCCCAATGGAGACCGGGCTGCTGAGCTCGAGACAGTCACAACTCCCATGCCCCAAGTTGTCTTCCTCCGAGATTTGAGCTGAAATATGAGACTTTCCCACAACACCAAACTCTGCAACCCATATTTTACTCTTAGCATAAATTCTATGTTTCTATAGAAAACCAAGTATTATGAGGGAGGAAAAAGAAACACAAATCAAATTAACTCAACCCATATCATCAATTCTACAATATGTACTTATATTCACACTTGTTAAGGGAAGAATCATAAAAGTTTCTGTTTGAATTGAATATGGAATTAACTTGAAATTAATTTGTTCTCATCCAAATCTCTACCATGTTTTTATTATTCTCTTTTACTATTTTGTATAATTAAAATCTGAACCAAATCTAACCTTAACCCATCTCATCATTTTCCTTAAGCTTTTATCGGAATCAATCACCGAGTCCAAATTATATTTGATCGATTGTTTAATCACGTTTGCAAATGATCATTTAGAGTGCATGCATCATTTCCATGTAAAACAAAACAGAAAGGGAAAAGAAAAAAGCTCTTATGTGGTTCAATTTTCAGGCACTGAAGCTTCAAAATAAAGCTCAATCACAAACCATACATAGAACAAACAATGAGAAGAAATTGCTCGAGTTGAAGATTAGAATTCCATTGTTAACGACTTTAACTAAGAGTTAATGTGATTCAAAACATGTAATTATGAATGATTCTATTCTACCGTCGAGATTAGTTTAGTAATTAACCCCAAAAGGGCAATAATCAAATAGAAAAGTAAGAGATTTCTCAGTTGATACTGATTCTTATAGTCCTAAATCTAAGTAAACTTTTATGAATATCATTACATTACAGAAAACCCATCATGAATATCACCGAAAAACTGATTACTAATCCTCTAAATTTAAGAAATTTTAATCAAAATCAACATTACTTCTCCTGCTCAAACAAAGCTCGATTAACCGTAAGTGACTCTACGAGTTACACTAAAACGACAATGTTTTGCACCAAAATAACACCATGAAAATGGAAATCCAATGCAGAAAGAAACTCAACCTGGTATTTGCAGAGAGAGATTTCCTCCAGAAGGCTGAATCGACCTGGATTCTTGGCGAGAGAAGTTCAGCTGTTACAGAGTTGGAGGCTTTAATACAAAAAAAAATTCAAGTACGAATTACGGTGACCACAACTTATATCTTCTACAAGATCGACGGCCAGGACAGGCGGTCCGGTTAAATCGACGGCTGATGAAGCGTACAAGTAAGACCTTGAAGAGGCGAAGCGACGACGTGGCGAGAGGAGATGCACGAAAAGATATGAGGAGCTTGCTTACGTGGCTTATTCAGAGTGGAAGGGGAGATATTTTTCACGGAGCTCATGGATTATGCTGCTACACGTGGACGTCTTTCATTGGGGGCCATATATCATTGTCTGATTGTGGGACCTAGTACGTGTGGTCGCCTTGGCTTTCATTACGTAGCCTAATTGCAGCCATTTGAAAAATTAATTGTTTAAATATTTTTTATCACCACCTTAAAAAACGACGTCGTATTGGTTAATCAACCAAACAAGATTTAACGGAGACGTTCCGTTAAGAAAGAAAAACGTGAGACAAACTAAACGCGTCTCAGCCAACGTGGCGCCCACAAAAACGGTGGTTAAGACCGCATACGACCCGATCGTAAATTGCGGCTCCTTCACGCTCCTCTTTTCATACAATATAATTTTATATGTCTCTTTTTAGTTAATAATTTAATCGAATCGGTCAAATTTTAATTTTATTTTCCTTTTTAATTTCATTTTTCCAAGTCTATTTAGAAAAAAAATTCAAAATTTTTTATGAAAATTCACGTAAAATTAATAAAATTTGAAATTAATATTTACGTAAAATTAATTTTTTATTAATTTAAAAAGAAAATTTTCAATCTCTCGAACATAAGCACTAGTACATTTTTATAGTACAAAAATTGAAACAAATAAAAAAGAACATAATTTTCCCACAATGTAAAGTAAATTTTTAAAATTTATAATCTAATCACTAAAATATTAGTGTATATAATTAATTTTGGAACTTAAAAACTTAATATTTATATATTAATATATATATATATATAAAAGTTGAAAAAATGTACCACACTTTACACCTCCAAAAATAATAAAATAAACGGTGCAAACGTAATGATTGAAGGCGTCACCTTTTCGTATTTCATCATTCCCCATCACTACTAGTAGTGACGCGTAAAATATATTCTCGCACTCAAAGATTCTCAGTCTTCTCTGACTATTATTATCGCAAGCATAATTTTCTACTAATTTAATTTAATTTTAGTAAAAAAAAAACTATAAACTTTCACCCTTTTTTTTTATAAAATAGTATATAATATTATAATATTTAATTTAATAAATTCGATAATTTAATTTACTAATATATTGAAGTTGATCGTAATGGGATCTTAACGAAATTAAATTAGATTAAATTTTAATATAAAAAATAATATTTTAGTAAAAATGATTTAAAAAATTAATTTAAAGTTGTTTTTAAGTAATTTTTGTAAACTAAATTAGACCCACTACTTCAATGTGTATTGGGAACAAGTTGAAAAGCCTTAATCGATTCTTTGATGAGGCTTCACTTGGTTAATTAGTAAAAATTAATTACCCCAAGTAAAAAAAAGGGAAGAGAGAAAATTACAGAGGGAGACGTACGCTTTGGTGAAGTTGAACAAGTCAGCAGTTGGACTTTCTCCCATCGTTGAACCTAAATGTATGACCAAAGACCGGTCTACACGAAGAAAATCCATTTCACCTTTTTCTCAGTCAAACTTCTCTTCTTCTTCTTCTTCTTCTTCTGTTCAATCACAAACACAGATCATTAAATTCCCGTTCCCTTAAAATCCTACATTTACCACCTTCTTCTTCCTCAACACACACTTCTCCTAGCTCTCCATTACCAATCAATGTGATTTACGCACATACATGTGTGAATGTGGGTTTGAATATCGTACCTTTTTTGGATGCTCTTCGAATTCAGTTCGGGGCTGGAGCGATTCTTTTTGTCCTAGTTTTGAAGCGATATAAGCTGGAGAGAAGCGAATGTTGAATACCCAATTCAAATTTAGCTTCCCCAGCTTCTAGATTCTTGGATTCTGCGACAGAGATAATCAGCATTTCATGAACTGACATTTCGTCGAGCACCTTCTGGGCTTTGCTTCGACGAAACGCTTTAATTCATTTTCTTGGTTTGATTTGTGTTCTAATGGAGTCGAAGATGGGGGATGAGCAGAAGAGCTTGATAGACGAGTTGACACAAGGGAGGGAGCTCGCGAGGCAGCTTCAAGTCCACATCAACATGCCGTCTTCATCGCCGGAGACGCGGGATTTCCTGGTGCAGAAAATTTTGGTTTCGTATGAAAAATCTCTTGCCCTGCTCAATATCTGCAGTCGTACCGGCTCGTCGGCGGCGGGGAATGTTGCGGGGACGTCGGAATCGCCGCAATCGATGAGTGCAAGTCCCCGGAGTGAAGACTCCGATCGTGATACCCTCAAGGACCAAGAGCCCAGAGATAGTTCCAAGAAAAGGTAAACTTGGTAATACCAATATATATATGTGTGTGTTTTTATATACAGATAAAGTAAACTAAATTTAGCTGTAATGATTTTAGGAAGGCGATGCCAAGATGGACACAGCAAGTGAGAATTACTCCAGGAACAGGACTGGAAGGTCCTCTTGATGATGGATTTAGCTGGAGGAAGTACGGACAGAAAGATATTCTTGGGGCCAAATATCCTAGGTTCTACTTTTGTTTCTTTACTTTTTTATATATATAATAAATGCGTATATACATATACATATATACACACACAAACATCCACATATAGTTTATATAACTCATCTGTTTTACTCTGATATTTTACGCTTTAACCGTCCTATCATCTTTTATATCATGCAAGACAAATCAAAAAAGTACATATGATGTGTGGATATATATATATATATATTTACTTATAAATACGTGTAGTATAAAGCATGCATGCGAATTAATATATATATTTTTAATTTTATTACAGAGGGTACTACAGGTGTACTCATCGAAACGTCCAAGGTTGTCTGGCAACAAAACAAGTTCAAAGATCCGATGAAGACACCACCATCTTCGAGATAACTTACCGTGGCCGCCACACCTGCAACCCAGCTTCTTCCTCCGGCGCCGTCACTCCTCCCCTGCAACAGCCGGAAAATCAAGAACAGAAACCTGTTACAGATTCCGGCGAACAAACGACGTCGTCCCACCTTCTTCCACCCCATCATGACCAGCGCCAACAACACCCGCAGCAATTGCTGTTAGATCTCCGAAATGGACTTAGGATTATCACCGACGATTTGGACAGAATTCACCAACCCCCATTCTCTTCTTTTAACTTCCAAACTCCGTCAAACTCGGCTATGAACTATGAAGCTCATTATCATGGACTCTCGCCGGCTTCCATAGCTGATAACGGTGGTTTCGTCGGAAACTTCTCGCCGAGCTTCATATCGCCGGGGACCTCTGGGTCCAACGGCTATTTCCGTACTACTAGAACCACTAATGAGATTCGTGAAGCTAACTTTCGAAACTCTGAGTCCGAACTCGCTGAGTTAAATAACTTTGGTAACTCGGGTACGAACTCACCGACTGTTGGGTTGGATTTCCCGTTCGGCAACGTTGAATTGGACCCGAACTTCGCATTTGGCAGCCCTGGATTTTTTTCTTAATTAGTTATTGAAATGTAAACGATTGGATAAAATGCGCGTAGATTAGAGAACCTGAATTTACTTTTTTGCCACCATAAAATGTTGACTGGTCAACGGATTGAAGTCATTTTTGTTTCTTTTTAACATAAATTTGCAATTTTAATTCCTTTTTTATAATTAATATAAATTTATATATTAATCAATAAATTATATATAAGCTATAAAAAACTATAAATTAGAAACAAATTTTTGTATATGCATTAATGTATATATCTACACTTGAGAAAAAAATCATGCTATCCTATATACTGCCGTGGATCTTTGAGGTACCTTCTCAAAGTGGTTCAAAACATATATCATATACACACACACATATATATATATCTTCAATGTTAGCGGTGAGCTACCATATACAATCACTCTCAGATTTCCTCTACATGAAAAATATCCTGCAGCCTCTACTTTGTAAGTTCCTCCCGACCTGCAATGATTGAAAGGGAGCCTCTGCTAAACTCATCTTTGATGTGCTGATAAAAAGAACTGCAAGTAAAGCAATTAATTTCTGATTAATCAACAGTGCAAAGATGAACTACAACCAACTGAGAGGAACCGGGAGGGAGGCGTCGTCGATACCATTGTTACCGCGAGTAAAAGCATCACTTTATTTATTTTTCAACTGCCCATTCGCATGTTCTTCTGTTTACTCCATTGCTATATTCATATACCCGTCCAGACATGCCAGGGTACCTGCACTGATGAGTGACAGATGGTAAAACCAGTTTTCGTATTCCTGAATTCACAAGTGAAGATACTGAAGGAAAAACCATTTACAACCGTATAAGCAAAACCATCTGCATATGGGTATTTGATAATCTATATTGAGTGAGATTAACCAAGAAATTAGGTGTTTAATATTACATCAAAATTCCTCATCAGAGATTAATATTGTTGTATTAACCAAGACTCGTGAGAAAACAACAGTTCACCCGTTAAAATTCACCACATTTTGTCACTGCGGTCTAGGAATCATAAAACTGGGATTACACCTCAGAAAACTCCTATATAAGAAACCTATAACCATAATTTGTAGTTTTTGTGCCAAAATTTTGATGCAGTGCATCACCAACAATACGAATTAGTGATCGTGAAATTAAGAACCATGATGTTTAAGATATGATTATAACTATACACATCCGCACAGCATTAATTTTGATCCTGAAAATGATTATGGTGATTTTCTCTCTACCTCCCTTGTGCATAAAAAAAGAGCAAGAAAAATCCTTTTGGCTTAGAGAAATTAATCAAATAAGCAAAGTACCATCATGCTTTGAAGAGTTAGTTCTACACATCTAAAAGGCAATAAAGCTTTCATAGTGATGCGAAGCTAAAAGCCATAGCAATTTTAATCACATCCGATGATCTGGGATTTATACCCTTGGATTTCAACATAAGCTCATGAACTACACATGTAATTACATTTAAACAACAGAGGCTAGAAAATCTGCAAAAAAGAAACAGCATTATTTTGAACTGTCAATCATCCTATGCATATAGGATGGGAAGTCTGAACTCGCAGAAAAATGACATTTTAAAAGGAAAAAAGAAAATTGGTGATGATCGACAGAGATATGAGATGTGAAGAACAAAACGAGACAAGAGAAACAGATAAAGAGACTAACCTCGATAATCAACATCAGAATTCAGTTTGACAACAACTAGTCACCCACGAATCGATTTGAGGAAGTCCGCTGGTGTCCTTGTATTTGCTGACCCTTTCTCTCCAGCTCCACTCATTTTTTCTTTTTCACTTACAATTTGGATATACCTACTGTGAATTTGTTATCACCACTGACCTGTACAAAATGTGAACTTTATCTGCTTGGATCAGCCACAACTTTGTAATGAAAAAAGGAAAGCTAACTTTCTGCCACATACCAACAAAAATCATAAAAGGTAATCCCTAATTCCAATACAACCACACCCTCGTTTTAACCGGAGGAAGAAATTTTTTGAACTTATTGACAAAATTTCAGAACTCTCAATCAGTAATATCTTTGATAGTCTTCCGTGTGGGTTAACCAAAAATGAAAACTACAGCTAAGTGCATCTGTGTATGTACAAATTGTAACGGCACGTATACTATTCAAAGTTCATGGATATTCTTCAAAGTGCTTGCATCAAAAGAAATGTGTTGCAATTATTAAACTCCAGCCCCGTGAGGTTTTTCACTCTAGAGCTGGTGACATGGAGGAGAGACACTAAAGTTTTTATCAAATTATCTATAGTGACTAGTAAAAACTAAGTGGTATAACTTTCCTAGCTACTCTTGAGCTTGTATATTAACACCCGGGACTGGATACATAACAGCTTATAATCAAGGCTGTTCCGTGCTAAACTATGTAAACAATTGATTCCAATATGTTAGGGCTGTGTGTGTGTGTAACACAACTACATGCATCGAAGGAGAGAGAACTTCACCACCGCCAAAGCAGAGAACTAAGAATGGGTCAGATTAGTTTTAATTTAGAAAACATCAAAAAAAATATATGGTAAAACTTTCTAAAGACTTCGATTATAACATCTTCATATTTGGAAAATGGTTCAAACACAAGGAAAAAAGAATAGAAATTCCAAAAGAATCTGCACAGACCAGATTATGAAACAATAGTAAAGGGATGAAAATGGATTTTGATTTTCTTGAAAGCACAATTCTTTCTATAGAAAAGAATGGAAGCAAAAATAAATAAAACACCCTTCAGTAAAATAGCAAGAACAGTAAGTAACTTGTTCAAGGTGGATTGAAAATCTAATGTAAAAAAGTTCTTTCCTGTCTGATGCATAGCAGAGTCTGGATTGAAAATCAAATGTACAAAAGTTGTTTCCTATCTGGTGCATAGCAGAGTCGGGATTCTTATACAATTTAATAAATTACTAAAGATATAAAGTTGTTCGTAAAAAATTTGTACAAAAATTTACAAGCAGTTTACTGATGAAAATCGCCACTCAATCATAGAAACGATACTTCTCAATCACTCACCAAATCACTCAACATAGAGTTGACCACATGATAAATCTCTTGTATTGATAACTGAATCAGAAGAAATTCCCAATTCCAAATATCATTCAACGCAAGATTAAATTGAAAGGAAAACCAAAATGCCAGAAACTCTCTAAGTAAGAATCGCTCAACCCTAGGTAATGAATACATCGTACCTGAAGATTCAGAAAAAGAGAAGGAATAGCGGCCGGATCAGTGAAAACGCGACCGAGGTTTGGACTTGGTGGCGGAGCTGAAGGGGATGTGTACTGGTTGAGTTGCGGAGTAGCAGAGCACGAGCGGCGAAATTTATCTGGCCTTGGCCAAATAATCAGGTATGGTGGCCTGATTGTCATGCGATCAGTCTATGCCAAGGCCTGGTTGCACGACCATCACTTGTTGCAACACCACCAAACCATGGAGTTGGAGCAGGTGGTCGTGGGACAAAGGTCTGTCAATCAGCTGTGTGAAAAAGAAGGCCCTGATCGGACGATCAGTCCACACATTAAACTTGGCTCAGCTGGTTGCACAACCAGACCTTGCCTTTGTTGGTCGCCGACGGACAGAACTTGCCTCGACCAGCCACGTGACTCTTGGTAAAACATCAGACGACGTGGACCATGGGATTCGTAAACACGTGGCATGCGTTCATTGGACACATTATAACTTTCCTGAGTTGACTTGATTATTTTTCTTTCAAGTATCAATTAATATGAATAAAAACTGTCTGTCTCTTCCTCCCCCAGTTCATCTCTCAAATCCCTCTGTTTCCTCTCTGAAAATCTCTCCATTTTCCCGTCTATCACAATGAAACCCCCTTCACACAATAAGAAAAAGGGAAAGACATCCGATAATTTTTTTAAATTTTTAATCTTAAATAAAAATAAATATTTTAAATTATTTACCTGTTGATCAAGAAGTAAAAATTTGTTAAGTTTCCTAATTACCATCTATCCTCTCTCTCTCTCTATATATACCTACAAACCTTAAACTTCATCCCTGCATTTTTTTGTTTCTTTTGATCTCCTCCCATGAGAGGCTAGGAGATAGAGAGGGAGAAAGAGGGAGTCTTGCTAAAGTCCCTCGTTTGGGTTCTTCTTCGTAGGACTCCCTCTTCCTCCTCCTCTATCCCCATAGCCACTCATGCAAAATATTACCATCTATCCTCTCTCTATATATACCTTCAAACCCGTTAACTCAAAACTCCTCCTTTAGTATTTTTTTTTGATCTCCTTCCATGAGAGGCTAGGAGATAGAGAGGGAGGATAGAGGGAGTCTTGCTAAAGTCCCTCGTTTGTAAGCATCCAAGAAGGTGTAAACTGGAAATTATCGTACAAGAATGATCATTACGAGAAGAAGACCAAGTGCAAAGTACATGAATTTCTTAATCAAGAGCGATTAAAATCAAGCAACCCTTCTCGCTAATTTTGGGATGCGCAGAAGTTCAAAATTTTTTTGTCCATTTGCTTCTTGGATTCAATATCAATAGCCTTATCTTTCCATGAAGCATGCTGATCAATCTCAGGGTTTTTATTTTTTATTTTTTATAGAAACTCTGATTATATAGAAATAAAAATATTTATAATGGAAAAATTAAAAAAAAAAAATATTACCTATAAATCTAAAAAAAAATTATAAATCATTTTCTAAATTACTTTTATTTGTAAATTTAAAATATAAAATTATTATATACAATAAAATAATATATTTTATTTATATTTATTACTTAGTTATACAAATAAATTTTACACATAATCTTTCAAAATTATAATGTTTTAAACTATTTTTTAATATAATCATATTCTTGGTACAAAAAGAATCTTGTAGAAAATTATTTACTTGTAGAATTTTTCATATTTAAGAACGATTATTACAGGAAGAAAACTAACTGTTAAGAATATTTAAGAACGATTATTACAGGAAGAAGACTAATTGTTAAGAATATGTTTTTCTTAATCAAGAATAATTATAATCAGACAAGCTTTTTCTTCAATTATTGGACGCTTAAGAGTTCAGAGATTTTCTTTTCAAGTTTCTTCTCAATTTACAGTTTGCAACTTATACAAATTCAACATTTCCATTGCTTAAAT